AACAAAACAAACCCCCCCCCCCCCCCCCCCAAAAAAAGATTTTACTCTAAAACGAACTAAAAAGGGGAGTAAGGAGATTTGAGTGAGTCAATTTGTAACTGCATAACCATATTTAATAAGGATTCATAATAAATATGGATTCATAAAAGGGGGTTGTAAACAGAGGCTCAAAATTATTTCTCAATGGATGAAACTTGAGAATCCTTCAATGTTCTCTAAGATGGCTTCTTCCCTTCACCATAGTCACCATCTTCTTTGGTTTTGTTCTCTTTTAATTCAAACAAAATAATGTGAAAGGAAAGAGAATGAATAAGAAGATAATATCATGGATGGTTTAGTGAATGAGTGACTTAATTAAAGAAGTGGGACTTACCTAGAAGCGTAGATATCGTGTAGCTCGCAAGCGAGAGGGACAAAGAGATGGAAAAAGATTGATGGCTTGAAGAATAACAATGACAACAATAGAGAGGGAGAGATTAAAGAGATCAATTAAGGTTTAGTTGAAAATTGAGGTGTAAGTTTCACAAACCATTCTTGATGTACTAAATTAAAAAAAGAAAAAGAAAAGGGTAGTTCGACAAACCCTACCCAATGTTGTCAAACTCGAGTTTCTACGTAGAAAGAAAAGGGTTGGTAAAAACGTAAAACGTAGAAACGACATGAAATGTAAAGTTTTTACTTTCTACTACTTAAGGTCAAGATACAATATATATATATATATATATATATATATATATATATATATATATATATATATATATGCATGTAAAAAAATATCACGTAATAAACATGTGTGTTGAGCCACTTATCTATCAAAAAGGAATTTTTTTTTATAACCAAGTATCAAAATTATAAACAGTGATAACTAATAAGTAACAAGTAATAGATAACCAATATGCTCTAACTGCTTCATACGCTCTGCAGATTTTGAATCATCACTCATCAATATAATTCCACTTCTTTCAATGCACACAATGATCCAAAAATACAAAACGATTCTCATAGCATAACTTATAATAAAATATCAGCTTTATAAGACATAATTAATTATAAAAGACATATATCCAAACAAAAGATATCAAGATATTGTGCATAGGGAAAACAAAAATTGGTTTTTTTTAATTTCTTTTTTTTTGTAAATCTTTTTTAAAAAAATTAGTTTTAAGTAAAAACGGTCAAAACGATAAAAACGTAAGTTTTTACCGTTTTAACGTTTTTACACGATGTTTTTACCAGTTTTTATCAAGGATAGTTTTTACTTGCGTTTTAACACGCACCACTCTAGTAAAAACGTAAAAACGTAAATTTTTACGTTTTTACACTAATTTTTGACAACAATGACCCTACCCATTTTAATTTTTAAGGCGATTAAATGGGTTAACCTGACAATTTAGACTTGTTTTGCAAGCTTTAATTCTACGTGTATGACCTTGTAGATTCTCAATACATTTGTGGTAACATGAAAAATCCTATTTTACTATTACAAATAAAATGAGCGATATCTAGCTATCAATACATCATCCATGCCCAATTAATGTGATTGCTAGTGATTTGACAAAACCTATCATGGCTAATGTCATGTAATATAGTTCCTTTTGTTCAGGACTATCAATTAAACACAAGAATGTCTATATGTCTTCATTAAAAGAAATGATGTTATTAGAAAAGCAAATAAAATAAAATAATTAAAAATAATGGAAGAAAGCAAGAAGATGTAACTGTTTTAATAGAACATTTGAATTGATCAAATCTTCACTCAATAGGTATAGACTTGTGTTGTATTTTTTTTTCAAGACTTGTGTTATTAAATTGTTATAAAACTAACAATAAGTAGCATATTAGGTGTATAGTACATAAAGCATATTAATTAAATACAAATTTGTTTCCCAGTAACCATTTCTCCCGATTAAGGTTTCTATTTAATCAAATTAAAATAAAATAATAATTCATCAAATCGCATGAGATACTTGAATATTTAGATGTGATTTTTTTTATTTTTTATTTTTTTATGTTTGACTATATGTTGAAATACATCATTTTGAGGCTGGTTATTTAAAAAAATGTGTTCTGATTGTTGCCTCCCTGGGTCATTCACAAAAATAAAATTTCATCGAAAATTTCTTATCACTTTAACCAATGGTTATTAGGAATTTTCTTTATTTTTTTTAAAGGAATACGAACATGATATTTCGAACCAAACCAATCCATTCCTGATCAGATTGGCTTGATAAATAATTTCTCCAAAATCAAATGAAATAATATTAATTGTTATACATTTTTTTCCCACAAACTAACCCAACCTCTAGATTATCCATTCCATACATTGGCAATAAAAGAGGTTAATTTACTTAAAAAAATATAAAGCAGTTTTTTATAGGAAAAAATATATATATAAACAGTAAACAATCCTAAACATTTGGTTAAACTGAATCATATAAGGCTCCAAATGAACTTTTTGCAAATGCCACACCTTCGTTACTTTTGCTTAGGGCTGGCAATATGGGCTGAGCCCGTCGGGCCAGCCCGTTTAACCCACTCAAGTTGACGGGTTGGGTTATGAATCTCAACCCACTAACCCAATGTAGCCCGCCCCGTTTACATATGAAATAAAACGGGTTGATAAAGGGTCGGGCCGGATTGGCCCGACGGGTTATTATTTTTAATATTTAAAAATTTAATTTTTTTTATACTTAAAAATAAAAGTACAAAAATTAAATTATCTTTTATTTGCCCTAATTCTAAACTTCAGTTAGCAGCTCCCCTTCGTTTTCTCCCCGTTCTTCGTCGCCGCTATTCCTCAATCCTCACCAGTCTGCTCCTCGTCTTGGTTTATCACCACTCACCAGTCATTTCCTATGCGTTTCTCTTTCTTCTGATTATTATGCGCAGCAATAGAAATGAAGACGTTTGAAAGGATTTGGATTTGGCTCCTCCCCATTCCGTTGCCCACTGTTTTCGCCGATTTGGATTTCCTATAAGATTGTGCTTCTGTTTCCGTCGTTTTTCAGAGAGAGACCAAGCGACTCCAAATTTGTTTATGCTATTCTCGCCTCTGCACAACCGCTGTTCACAGATTTCGCCACTCACAAACACTGTCGTGCGACGTTCCTAGGACAGGTTATTTTGGGTCTTTGGTTTTTTTTTAAGAAAAAGCTTTGTTTATTATTATTATTATCATCATCAATAATAAATTACTAAAAAAGCATTTGTAATTTGTAATTACTAAAAACTGAAAAAGTTGTTTCATTTTTATTTAAAATTCGTGACTCATGAAGCCACTGGTTGCGATTGGACATGAATTGCTTGGTTTGGCGTTTGAGCTTGTTCTAGGGATGTCCATCAATTCACCGGAATGGTCGAGCTTTTACTTATTGTTGATTTTCACTGTGGAAAATTATTGTTTACTAAGATTTAGTTTAGTGTTTCACTTGGTGGGTGAGGGATAAGGGAAACTCAATTGGGTATTATTCGTTTCTAATTCTCGTTTTGTTTGTTTCCTTGTAATTTGATTTATGCATTATTTGGGTATATAGTTTGTTCCTTGTTATGCTGGCCTTCCCGTTAATTTTTAGTTACTGATAACGATGACTTATGGTTAATTAACAGTTTGTAATTTGTGTTTTTTATGCAGATTTTTATGGGTTTTTTTTATTTTAGGATTTTTTTTTTAATTTGGGCGGGCTGGCCCGCAGCCCGCCAGCCCATTTATAAAACGGGATGGGTTATAAAGTCTAGCCCATTTTGTCAAAACGGGACGGGTTGGCCCGCCCCGTTTTTGGCGGGCCAATGGCGGGCCGGGGTGGGCCGGGGCGGGCCAGCCCATATTGCCAGCCCTTTTGCTTCCTCCACTTTTGTTAATAGCAATTATTTTATGGAGAGGTTATAGTTACTAACTGTCTTTTTTACTATCTCTTACTATTAGATCTTAACCTTTGATATCCGTCAATTTAACCGTTATAATTTATTGGGTCATATTTATTAATTAATTATTAATTTTCAATAAATTATAACTGTTAGATTGGCGGAAATCAACGATTAAAATTTAGTAATAAAAGTAGTAAGAAAAAGAAGTATTAACTATAACCTCTCCCGTTATTTCATGGAATCAAATTAGGGAAATACCTTCTCTAATTCTTGTAATGCACAACACGACCCAATAACCCCAAACCAGAAACATTTTTAATATTTTATTTTATTTTGATATATTTATTTTTAATTTTTAGTCTCATGTTGTAGGATATTAGTATCTTATGTCAAAGACATAAAACATGTATGACCCACTTATTTATTTGTTTTTTTTATTGTTTTTAAAAAGTGAACCTCATTTTCAAAAAAAAAAAAAAAAAAAGTGAACCTCATATACCTTGTGTCTATAACACGAGATACTAATCTCCTATAACATACTACTGGTATTTCTCATTATTTTTTTGAGTTATATTTATCTTATGTTATATAAGAGAAGTCAATTTCCTACACATAAAAAAGAGGTGGATTCCACCTCTATTTTTTTTCTCTCCTTTTATCTGTGAGTCTCACTTATAATTTTATTTCTACTGAGAAATTTTTTCCTAAACATAAGAAAACCATTTTCGTATTTTTATATGCAGATATCCGTCTTTTCATCCTCCTTAGATAAACAACGAACACAATGTAAAAGGCTCTGAGCCCACGCCAGGCCCGTCTGAAAGCAACCCCTAAAACGACCTCAGCCACCAAACAGGCCCTTCGTGGGACCCACCCAGCTCACGAGGAACCCGACGTAACGAACCTCAAAACGACGGCACCGAAATCTGAAACGCAAAATAAAAAAAGAAAAAGAAAAGAAAAATGTAGCCAATGAGGTTAGAGCATTTGATAGAGCGATTCCTGGCCACTACTTTAGATACGCTTACATTCACACGTGTCTATCGTGCGGGCCCCACCGTGTAATTGTAAACCATTCACCTATCCACGTGACGTCACGTGGACTCGACCCCGTACACTATCTTTCTTCTGTTTCGTCTCTCTCTTTCTGGAAACTCCGTTACTGTTTTGCTTTGTGAAGATTGCAACTGAAAGCTTCTTCTTCTTGTTCTCTCTTTTTGCATGTTCTTCTCTCTCTCTCTCTCTATATCGCTGAGAAGAGTGAAGAGACGCTGTTTCTTTCTCGGTCCGATTTGATGGTGTGCGTTTCTCTGTGATTTTGTGGGGATTTTCGGCGATGAGTGAGCTAATTTGCTGCCTGGTATTTGATTCTGGTTTCGGTTTTGTGGATTGCTTTGCTCGATTTATAAGAAATGTTTGATTGGAACGACGAAGAGGTGAGTGATTTTTTTTCAACTTTTTTTTCGTTGTTTTGGATTTTTCAGCTCAAATTTTGGTTAGAGTGAATGGTAAAGTTTTTTTTATTGTGTGTGTAAATTTTTGAGGTGTTATAAGAAGTGCTTAGATTCTTCTTGTTGCAATGAATTTGATGATTTGTTGTGTGTCTGTGTGGTGGTGGTTTAAACATGGAATTTTCAAGATTTAGGTGATGATGTTGTTTGAGTAGTTGGAATTTGTCACTCTCTCTTTCTGGTTCTTTTTTATTTTATTTTTATCCTTAAGGTTAAGTGCTTATAATGTTTCGTGAAATTCTACAATTGAAAACAAATATTGCTTGCAAATGTTGGAACTGTAACAAATGTATGATTTTGTTTGTTATGTCTTGGAGGCCAAATATATATATATATATATATATATATATATATATATATATATATATATATGGGTCAGGATCATTTTACACCAGCGTAAGTTACACTATATATATATATATATATATATATATATATATATATATATATATATATATATATAGAGTGGCGGAGCCAGCCTCCCAACTCAGCTAGGGCGAAAGAGAATTTCGCTAGTGTCAAACACTAAAACTTAGAAGGTTATTAGGGCCAAGGCACCCCCTCCATCCAACGTGGCTCTGCCACTATATATATGATGGATGATGAGAGAGAGAGAGAGAGAGACTTTGCTCAGTTCTGATTTATTTAGATGGTCGTCGAATTCTCTACGCCTATGTTGATAATGACAGAGTACATAGATTTAATGGGGACATGAATGAGAAGGGTATCCTGAATCTGAATTTGGTTACTCTCAGGAAGGAATATATTTGAAAGGGTTTTTCAGTTGGGGGAAGATCATGCGGTTCTGTTTTTCTTAGAAATGCTGCATTTGTCCTTCAGTTTGTGGTAGTCCTGACGTATTTGAGTTGAGACTTTTTCTAGGTGAAATATAGATGATAATAGTTTACATGATGTGGGTGAGGGGGAGGGATTTCTTTGATGGGCTGGAAGCACATGAAGAGATGAGGAATGGACGATGGATTGTATATTATGTAATTAATTTAGGATTTGATCCTGTTATTAGAGATTGTAAAACCTTTTAATTCTTCAAGCATTTCACAAATCCATTTGTACATGGGAGCCATAAAGATCATCCATATAGGTTGAGATTCACTAGGGATGGCCGGATGGGATTTTGGCTTTTGGGATCAGAGGTTTGAAACTAAAAGAAGCAAAGCTCCTCTAGCAGTAAAGGCAGAGAAGCAGGCTCATCTGATATTGAAGAACCAAGACCCACCTCGTCAGACAGCTTCCAATTAGTCCAGAATCCTCCAAGCGCCGTCGTCAGAGAAGCTCTCACGTGCCCCATGCACAGCCCAATCTGTCGGTGTATGATTCTCACGCATCCCATGTGTGCCTCATTTGTTGGCACATGTAGCCCACATGCCATCTTCCAGGCGTGCTCACTGTATGGTTCTGTCCATAGATCTGGGCTCACCGCCACCGTTCGACTCTGTTTGGAACTGTTTATGTGCTATTCTTGGTAGGTCTTTGCTGCTGTCCAGAGGCATGGATATCCTGCTTTGAGCTTCGGTTTGGCTTTGATAGCGCGTTAGTGTTACTCTTTGAGTTTATGAGTTGATCAGAGGTTGATTTGATGTGGTCTGTGTTTGGTTGTGAGGCCTCTGTTTTCCTAAGGTGGTTCAGGTATGGTTGGGCATCTTTGATAAGTTTATGGTGTTAATTCTAGTGAGCAGCTTGTCAATTTCGTCACAATGTCACTGCAAGGACCTCAAATACATTTCATATGTGACAAACTTGGTGCATATGATCTGTATGCTCTAACTTGAGGGAGAGTTTTTGATAATATCTTCTATTTAGGGAAATAGATCATATATATCCTTCTCAAGGATTGTACATTATGTGATTAATTTATGCTTTTATTTGATTTAAATTTAGTTTCCTGTTATTAGAGTTTGTAAATTCTGGTATATAAATAGAATAGGGTTGTTAGAGGAATTTCTTGAGGATTTCACAAATCCTTTTGTACAGTTACATAGCATTGACTTGTTGGAAAACGAAATGAGAGAACTATACTGGTTCAGCCCAGACCCATTCATTTATACTGACTCGATAACCTATCAAGGAAGAATCTTATCGGAAGAGCTGCTTTTGTGGTATAATCTAGTCAATATGGCATAGAAGAGAATCATAATTGGACCGTTTCTTACAATTAAGCTCAAGTTTGACATAAATATTTGGAGATCAACCTACCTATGTCATTTTAAAATTGATTGGATGGAGTCATTGTATTATGATAAATAGTTTCATAATCCCACACAATACTCAAGATTGAAATTTGTGCTTCATATGAAGTTGCAGAATTATAATCTGCTAGCATTTAAGTCCAACTTCAACTGTGCTCCAGTAGTCATACTCAGTTTAAAAATTTTCAAGTGTTGCCAGCCAAAGCACCTGAGTATTTCCCTAAAATAAACAAATAAATGGAATATTATTCAATAGCTTCAAAGGCTGTGTGATCTTTTGCATTACTGAAATTACGTGATACCTTGTTATAAAGTTGCTGTAAAGTTTTCTTGTGTCTTATCCTCTTTCTTTGTACACTTCTCTTCTTCCTTGTGTCTATTAATGTTACTACCGTTGGCATCTAAAGTGTTGACTTTTTATTGTTGACTTCAACTTCATCAATGATATTAATGTTTAGTGCTGGATTGTTTTCAGCTTGCTAACATAATATGGGGTGAGGAGGGTGACAATGATGATCATATTGTGCCTTATTTGAAGGCAAGTGAAGATCTTAGCAACAAGAAGGAATGGAATCAAGAAGCTGCTACGACTAAGCTCAATGAACTGAAAAGATCAGAGGCTAAAACTGATTTTGATGAAAGAAAGCTAGGAAGCAGTTCCAACCTCAACAATAGCGGAAGACTATCTGCCATAGGATATGGAACAAACTCATGGCCTGACTTGTCTTTATCCAGCGCAGCTAAAATTGATCACGGTTCTCGGGGTACTGAAGAATCTAAATTTTTTAGTGAACTTAGCAAATTCAGTTCATCAAGAGGTGGTAAAATTGGTAATTGCTGGAATTTTAGTAGATAGCATGTCTGTCAATGCATTTTTGTGTATGTGCAGGTTTTTGTCTGCTGATGTCTTTTGTGCTTGTGTCACACCATCATTATATGAAATATAATAACTTGTCATGATATGGACTTATATTTTTCCATTCCTAATTGTGTAAATGTTTGACAGAAGAGACTACACAACTTGAAAAGGAATCTCATGAAGGTAAAGAGCAAGGTGATTTTGATGATTACGAATGGGCTAACATAGGAAGTTTTGATGACCTTGATCAAATTTTCAGGTAAAGTAGATTATTTGTGTTGTTCTATATCTGATACATGCATATGACTGATTGCACTATGTTCACAAATCTATTTAATATTTGTCATTCTTTTTTCTTTTTTTCCTGTAATACTGAAGTGTAAAATGGACATAACTTCTCTCTCCTGTTATCCTGTTTTTGAGAACTGTATTATTCACCACTTTATACAAATGCTCACACATTGCTCAAACTTATTTTAGGTATCTTTAATCTTTTTTCCTGTCAAACTCAAATTGAACAATGTATGCAGCTGCAGCTGTGCATAGTTGTAGCTTCAATAATAAAGTAACATCATTCAAAGTGAAAAAAAAGGATGATTCCAAATGTGAAATTTATGATCACCTTAACTTATTAAACTAGGAAACAAGACTTCATATTTTTTAATTTAGACTGATTGTTAGTAGGTAGTTTTAGTGTTTTACTCCCCCTTGGCTTCAATTTTATGGTGCTGTGATGGATAACATTGGAAAGAAGTACTGAGGTTCCTGATTAACACTGAATATTTGTAGACATATATCTATCCTTACAGATAATAGTTTTGTATTTTGCAAGGGAATCTACCTGACTGAATATTCTCACAAGTGATGATTTTGCAGCAATAATGACCCCATATTTGGCCATGTAAGTCTTGATAACTCAGATGAGCTTTGGTCCTCTAAAGATGTGAGTAACAATCCAGAACCCGTACACTTGAACTCACCAAGTCTAGAAGGTGCTTTAAGGACTGAGCCTTTGGAAATCAAAGAAGAATATGTTCAATGTAATGATCAATCATATGCCCTCAGCCATGAGAAGATTGGTGGTCCTGCATCTCTGGTTATACAAAATTCACATGCAACCACAGCTGATGAGGGGTCTGTTGGAGTTAGAAGTAAACCTACTGGGAAGGAGCAGCAGGTAGGTCAATTAATTTTCACAATGACCAGTCTCTATATTATTTTTGTCTCTCTTTGTATAGTTGACCAAATAAATTACTTATTTCATTTTTGTCCTTCAGACTATATAATCAGGATATGGTAGGAAGCACCGCTTCTGCAACCTCTGGTTTAGTTGTTGCAACAGAAAATGAACAAACTGATAACGGATCCCAAATTATTTTAGAAACATATAAATATATAATGCTACCATCTATGATTGCTTCCTGATTTCTGCTATCCCATTTATCAAACCAACTATTGTTCTCTTCGGGTATTCCTACACCAAAAGAAGTTGTGAATTATGTGTCAATAGTCATATCAGGAGTCATTTCAGTGGGAGTTCAGAAAGCCTGCTTTTATGATAAAAGCATGTCTATCTAATAATGACTTGTGCTTATTGTCCATTTCTTTTAGGCCAAATCGATATTTCACTTGTCTGTAAATTTTATCTTTTTGACATGATCCTACAGAGTAGATATTTAAGTTTAGGCCCTTGTTTGGCCGGATAAATTTGAATGTGATCCAATTTTGTAATACAAAAATTAAATCAATTCTGGGGTAGTGATAGTGACAATGTTCTGATTGCGATGGACAACTATCAATTGGAAATGGAAAGGAATGATAACATGGGCAATTCGGAAGCAGTTCTTTTATATTCTTATTTCTTCCATAATTCCATTGCACAAGCACTCCAGATAAGAGGATTCAGTCCTTAGATTTCTCCGGTCCTTTCACTTTTGAGCTTCAATTTCTATATTTTATTTCTTTACCACCTTTGGGAAGTTTAAAGCTCAAGGTCCAGCCTTTTAGCAATATAAGGCCTTGTTATATGGAAATGTTTTTACGTTCTTTAGGAGTTCGGAGACTAGAGGTATATGTTCCTTCATTGCTAGGTTTTGGAAATTTGAGATAAGCAGTTTAGCATCTTCAGGATGCACTGGTTCTGTTCCGTAGTGAATATCTTTCTTGGATTGGACTTTTATTTTCCATGTGTTATTTATGTAGAATTTCACTTATATTTGTGCCCTTGGCTTAATTGTGTGCAAGAGCTCTAGCACAAGATTTATTTTCACCTCTTTCCTTCTCCAATTCAACAAAGCATTTGATCTTTGTACTTGTTAGAATATTTAAAAAATATCATATAATATCTTAATATTTCTTAAAATAGTTTAGAGTATCCTAGATAGTTTCTTAGGAATATTTTCTCTATCTCCTAATATTTCATGATTAATCCTTATTTAAGAGTCCCCTATTTAGTATAAATATAGCTTATTACTTTGTCTTTTGAATCACCTCTTTGCAGAATATTTCTTGGTCTTTATTGTTTTTTCTGTCTATGCTTAAATCCCTATAATTTTAACATGGTATCATCCTCTCTGACATGTCCGGGCAGTATTATTCTGTCAAGCTCTATATAGTTCGGAGTTTTACTTTATTTTCATGATCGTGTTCCTACTCTGGTTTCTGATCTCCACTACTGTCTCCTCCTTCTAGCAGTCCGCACCACATCTTTTGGCCATCACCGACCATGTTCGCTCGTGTCTTAGTCGTGTCATCTTTCTGACAAGCTTCTCTAAGTCTACTGTCAACTGCTGTCTTTATCCCGGCAGCAGTCCAGTGTCTTCTGGCTGCTGTCCCCAGCTTCTCTAGCCACCTACAATGACTGTCCCTGCGGAAACCTACATTGCCAGAGTGTTAGTGATAGGAATAACTCCCTGTCTAGACTCTGGGATAATTTTATTTAATCAACAATAAAGAAATTAAAAAAAAAAATTAAGAGCAAATGATCCCTGCAAAGGAATGGATCCCCTTGCCCCAGCCTTGGCCAAACATACAGAAATACTCACATACCCAAGCTATACCATAAACTACTCCCATATACAACACACAAACTGCAGTTACTAATGGCAGTTATTAGCTGTTACAAGTCTTACATTCTAAAAAACTGATTGCACCCACTTCTAAAAATAACTACTAAAATAACTGAACACTAATTTGACTTTAGCAGTTATTAGCAGTTACAAGTCCTGCATTCCTATCAATTCCACCCTCCCTAAAATCTGCCTTGTCCTCAAGCCAGAATGCTGGAAATTGGTTCTTGATGGTATGTGTTGTTTTCCGTTGTAGCTTCTTCCACGTCCTCCTCAGCATTCGATTCATTCGCTGAAATGAGTTGATTCCAACGAACATGTTTGCTTTTTTCTTCCCAAATTAAAAATTTTAATTGCCTTGTCTAGACATTGGTGTGCAGGTGGTGGGCCTGAAAGTAATGAATATGTTAATTAGTTTGTTAAGGAAATTTTCTAAAATATTCTTAGAGGAGGGAATAAAAGGAGAGGGTATGTGTGTGTTGAGATATATAAAACCATTAAAAAGCCCTCACCCACTAGCTTAAGCTTTTGGGCTGAATTGGTTCTTTACATGGTATCAGAGCCTCGGTGTACCGGGTTCGAACCTCACCGCCCCCACTTTCTTTCTAGTGGAATTTCTTTCTTCGCACAGGTAGGTGGGCCTGTGCATTGTCCACTCTTCAAGCCCAGTGGGCTCTCGTGTGAGGGGGCGTGTTGAGATATATAAAACCATTATAAAGCCCTCACCCACTAGCTTAAGCTTTTGGGTTGAATTGGTTCTTTACAGTGTGAAGTGAGGTAGCCCTATATTGGGTGAATATTGGGGATTTGGGGATCTCTTAGAACCTAGATGCCTTACTTCTAAGGGTGACCTAAGGGTATTTTAGTTTATTTTTCTGCAATTAGTGTTTGTAAGGAGCTTGTTTCCATTATTTTACTTTAATATAATTTTTTTGTTCCATCAATTTGATATCAGAGCACTTCCCATCTAGGGGTGGTGCTGGTTCAAACCCTTGAGAGAATGAAAGCCACGGGAAGAATCAACAATTTAGAGCTGTAGGAAATTTTAAAAAAATTAGTGGTGTTAGATGAGGGAATAGAGAAGATTGAGATAGAGAGGTTTGAAATAAAGAAACACAATACTCAATCAGAGAAAAAATCGAAGAAGACAAAGAAGATGTGGAGGAAGATAATGTTGCAGAAGGAACAAAAGTGAAGGTGCAAAAGAAGATGTAGAGGCAGAAGAAAAAGAAAAAGAAAATCTAAGAGTGATACGATCTGGCCCAAGATCATGTATGTATAGGAAGGATTAAAATAATGTGGGCCTAGCCTTTGCTGACTCCGCAAATCAGTTTCAACAGAATGGCATGGGAAGGGAGGTTGAGACGGTTAAATAGCAAGGAATGAGAAGAGTGAGGGTATCTGGAATCGTTGGGAAGTATTGGCATCCTTTTGGATATTGGGAGAGACCCCTGAGCCTCTCAAATTGCTCAGGAATATCTATGTTAATGTCTAGTTTTCATTGTTGTTATTGTTCTTCCATTACTGTCACTGTAATTAGGATTATATTGTCTCTATTATTGTAATCGTTGCTGAACATTGTACTGTTGGTTCATATTAATACATTGTCTACGAGTTGTTTCTCTAATTGGATTGTTGGTTTCTATCAAAGAGGAAAAGGATAAAGAACACGAAGACGAAGAAGGAGAGAAAGAACGAGAAAGGGAGAAGTTACGTCTCCATGGCCAGATTGATCTGGGTTGCGTCCCTGTAAATTAGACCATAATGTTAGCTTAGAGAGAAGTACCCGAGACGATTTTGGGGAGAAGTAAGTTAGTAACGGATCGAAATGGAGGCGGGTTTAGAGGTGTTAATGGTTATTTGGGGTGAGCTGCTCATGGAAGTATGGTTGTACATAGTGGGCTACAAAGTGCCCAAATTGTAGGACATAATAGGCCTAATTCTATGGCCCAAAGTGGAGGAGTCAATGCTGAGGGCCTAATTCAACCTTCAGTAATTAGTGTCTCAGACTTTACATGCTCAAATTGGGGTTCATTCGTTGGGGCTGGAGTGATGACGCAAAGCAAAATCAAAATTGCGAATTGTGGCGAAGACAAACACCGTGGGTTGCGATTTCGTCAGTGGACGCAGGAGGCGCTTAACGACAAGGTAATACGATGCCTATGTTTCAGGTTTGATGCTCATTTTTTCCTTGGCATGTCTGTCTACTCTCTTATTTGCATGTGATGGTTCTAGGACGGGATGTGGCGACATTGGTGTGGTTCTATGGGCGGGAGACTAGCCATCCCATTATTGATTGGGGGCTATTGCGTTCAGCCTTGTTCCAGAGATTCCATTTACAAAGCTCGATTGGGGGCAAACAATTTGAGATGTTGTCCGTTCCTCTTCGCCAATTGATGATGAAGTGATGGAAGCAACGTTACTAAATGGGTTGAGAGGAGAAATTCGTGAAGACGTGAGGATGGGTTTTGTTGATGACTTAGGTCAGATGTTGATTTTGGCTCAAAGAACAATAGAAAAGGAGGCTATTTGGGGTGATTAATGGATGGACAAATTCAAGGAAGAACAGGTCATGGTAATGGGATTTGCACCACGGAAGCCTTGACTCATAATCAAGCCAATGGTGGATGGGAAAACAGGCCCAATTCAGCCAATGATAACTCTAAGGCATCCCATGTTTCTTTGGCCATTTATATTACTTATGAATTGAAACTACCAATGTACTCAAGATACTTTAAATAGTGGGATCCGGGTGGAAGTTCTTTCACATTACCTATCCTCTCTCGTCACCTTAAGTTCAAGGTTAGTTTTGAAGGGGGAGTATTGATTGGCCTGAAAATAATGAATAGGTTAGTTAGTTTCAACATCAACATCAACACCATTATCCCAAACTAGTTGGAGTCGGTGGAATAGGTTAGTTAGTTTGTTAGGGAAATTTTCTAGAATATTCTTAGAGGAGGGAATAAAAAGAGAGGGAATGTGTGAAGTAAGGTAGACATGATTGAGTGAATATTGGGGATTTGAGGATCTCTTAGAGTCGAGGTGTGTTGGTTCTAAGGGTGAGCTAAGGGTATTTTTGTTTATTTTTCTGCAATTAGTGTTTGTAAGG